CGGGCCGATTTTCAAACCTGTCTAGGCCTGCATTAGTTGGCGAAAAAAGACAAAAACCCCAGCTCAAAACCCTAGAGAGAAAAAAAAAATTATTTTTATTTCCCCAGTTGTCCCCGAGGGGCAAAAAAAAAAAAAAATCCAGCAAAGCACGATCCAATTTTTCTTCTTGGGAAACAAATTCCTCCTTTTTATGTGATTTAAGGTAAGGGAATTGGTCTGGTGAAATTAAGGATCTACAAACTATGTTAGGGGTACTGGAACTTTTATTTGTATATTTTTTTTTTTAATTAGTAACGGTGGCTATCAAGGGGCTTGGGGGGGGCAAAATTTACTCTAATTGACTCTTTGGGGAACTGAAACGTCGATGACATTCCCGGACACTAAAACAGTACGTGCAAAAATATGTACTGTCACTGTATGGAACACTGGTGGGAAAGGGTTAACATTAGGGGCAAAAAAGGGGTTAAATGTGTGCCTAAAAATGTGTAATATTGCTACAGATGATTTGTTCCCCCCCATATCACATATGTCAAAAACCCAAAGGCCCGCGGGTGATCCGGGCCCTCCCGGCCATTTCATGTGGCCTTGCACCCCCCGCAGGGGACCCCCCCTTGGCTCCCCCCCCACCTTGGGTCAGCAGAGAGGTGAAAGAATCCTCGCGAAATTTCCCGCACCCTCAAATGCAGCGGGAGCACCCCGTACTCTGCCTCCCCGGTTCGCATTCTGCAGACTCTGGTAAAATGACACCCTCCTCCTCTGGTCCTCCCCAGACCCTGTACTTTTGCTTTCCAGCTCTGCCCCCAAAGGGGGGTGCCGGGGTTTTTTGGGAGGGTGTGGGATTCTTTGACATCTGAGTAAAGGGGGGGTGGGGTGCTTGGAAAACTAGTCTTACAGATACAACTGTAAAAGGTGATAGGCCCCCCATGAAATGGAGTTTTACCCCCCTACTCCCATATAGAGCCTGTTTGTTTTTAAAAAGGGCTTGGGCATTGGACACAGCTTTTTAGAGGGGTCCCGGGGGCCCTGAATCTTGGCTGGGATCTGTGACAAAAATCCCGCTTTGGGTAGGTGGGGGGAGCACGTACACGCAAACCAAAACCCAATAAACAGGCAGCGACATACATGTATTCACTGTGCCTGTAGGGTTTCCCCCGTGTTATGCACTGCGCATCGCAGAGGTCAGCTTTGGTGGCCTTGAAAAGCACCACCCAGATAAACAAAAATCTGTTTAAAAAAGAAGCAAAATGGAGAAATATTGGCCAAAGAGTACTGCGTTCTAGAGATGAATTCACTTTTTGGGTTTTCGGCTGGGTGCCGAGGCTGTCAGAATACACAACGGGGACAAATCCTCCATTCAATTGAAAATTGGCTGCAGCTGTGATCAAGAATTTTTCCAACCGGGGCAGACTGACCATTTGGAAACCCCGGGCACTGCTCGAGGGCCCCAGGGTCAGTAGGGGCCCCATGAGACCCCCCTGGTCCCTTTTTCATAGGCTTTTTTGAGTTTGGGAAAGGGGCACAGGGGCCCTTACCCCCTATTCCCCGGGGGGGGCCCCCATGAGTTGTCATCAACTTCCCATTAAACCAAAATTGAATGTAACGTTACCTTCTTTTGGATGGGGACCCCCCAAACATACATTAAAAAATTTGGGGTTTCCCCTCAGAACCAGCTGAAATTCGATCCTTTTCTGTCGCTTTAGAAAACATTTTTAAACATTTATACTACTGTAATAGGGGGAGCATCAGGGGGTTTCAGGGTCACAATTTTCGATCCTGCCCCTATTCCGGGGGCCCCCAGGCTTTTACTCCCCGCTGATATTACATTACCCATACAAAAAACCCGATTGGAGTCCCCTTCGTCCCCTTTTTTCCCCCCCGGGTTTACCAATAATTCAGTAAACAGCTTTCCCTCATTTTGCCTTTCTCCTAGGCCACACCCTCCCCCCGCTCTCATTGGGGGGACTGAGAGCACCTGGAGAAGCATGGCAGTGAGCTGTAAAGCGGGGGACATGAACGCCCGAGCAGCCTGGCGAGAACCTGGCATGTGCTGTGGGGAGGGGAGAGCGCCCCAGAAGCCGGGACCACTGAATTTTACTGAGGAAAAACTGCTATGGACCAAATAGGAAATTTTGGGGGGGGTGAGGCAGTTTATGGGGGGGGCCCAGTAGAATTTTTGGGAGGGGGGGGAGGTATGCATTAATGGGGGGGGGGAAGGGTTTTTATTAAGGAGGGGGGGGAGGTTATTTATAATGGGGGGGGTGGTAATGTAATAAAGGTTGGGGGGAGGGGGGGAAGATTTTGGGGGGTGGGGGGGCAATTTTTGCCATTATGGGGAGGGGGGCTAGGGCGTAATTACTAGGGGTGGGGGGCGAGTCATTCTTTTTTGGAAGGGGGGGCAATCATTATTATTGGGAGAGGGCCCGGGCATGTTTTATTAGGGGGGATCCAGGGTTTTCCATTACTGGGGGGAAAGGGGGCCAGGTCATGTCATTTAGGAAGGGGGGAGGGGGGGAGGGAAAGTCTTATTTGGGGGGGGGGTCAGGTTTGCCATTACGGGGAGAGGGGCCAGGGAGTCGTTACTAGGGGGGGGGGGAGGGGGGGAGGTCAAGTTTTATTTTTTAGGGGGGGCAGCTCAGCATTTTTGGGAGGGGTCCAGGCATGGCCTTTACTTGGGGAGGGGGTCTAGGTCAGTAATTACAGGAGGGGGGGGGGGGGGCGAGTTCATTTTTTTATTGTGGGGGGGGGGCACTAGTCATTTTTAGGGGGGGGGGTTCCGGTCCCGGGGCATACCATTACGTGGAGGGGGTTAGGTATGTAAAAACTAGGGTGGGGGGGGGAGGCGAGGTCATCCTTTTTTGTGGAGGGGGGCCAGGTCATCCTTTCCCGGGGAGGGGGGGGTTAGGTCTGTCTTACTAGGGAAAGGGGGGGGAGGGGGGAAAAGGATGCATTTCTAAAGGGGGGAAGGGGGATTTTTTTCATTACTAAGATGGGGGAAGGGGGGGGGCAGCATTTTCAAGATGGGGGGGAAGGGGGTGAGGTCATGTCCCTTACTAAGATCGGGGGAAAGGGGTGAGGTTATGTCATTTACAGTTTTGTTTCTGCAAAAAACTTTTGATGCCCTCTCCAATATGTAAAAAATTATCGAAAAAAATCGTGGCGTACAATGCAGTATCTTGGCACCAGTGGCGAGTAGTACTGGGGGGCCCCAGGTCAACTTTTTGTATCCGGGCCACAGCTTCGAGCTACTTCCTCTACTACAAGGTTACTATATCCCTATAGGGACAGAACTTGTTAAAATAAATATTATAATGTTAGATTTTCTTTAAAACGTCCAGTCAGTAAAACTTTGCTTGCCCTGACCTAACACACACCCCCACCATCTCCTGCCACCCACCCAGTGAATCAGATGGCACCATTGTAACTTTTAGTAGCACACAAGGTCCAGAGGGATGACAAAGGGGATAATCTGTTGTCGCAGACATTTGAAAACACCACGCAACAAGAAGTGCACAGGCACTAAGATTTTACGATGATTGAGTTAATCTCTAAGCCGGAATCTCAGTCCAGGAAGTAGATGGTGACCCTGGATGGATGCCGAAACTCAAAGATGGCTCAAATCTATTGGGGAGAATAAAAGCAAGATATGAAGGCTATTGTCGGGAGGAGTACCTGTTGTTCTGCCAATCCCTCCACTGGTTTTCACCATATGGCCCAACGAATAACAATTCAAAATATTAACTAATAACAATTGGAAAGGATTGAAGTTTTTTGTTGGAAAGAAAGATTCCATATCTTCATTGAAGGAAGATCATATAATATGTATATGGACTTTATTTAATGGACTTTATGTTGGATCTTATATTAATTTGATATATATTGATTTATATATGTTTTTTGGTACATAATTTCACTTTTATTTGGTGGTTGTTTTTCATTATAATTTTATTTTATTTTCAATTTTATTTATTATTTATTATTTATTTTATATGTATAGTTGAAGCTTGAGAGCGTTGTTTTTTTGTGGGTTTTTTTCACATATATTTTACTAGTCCTCCATCCCTCTAACCCAATTGTTGTATAATAGCAGCTCTAATTAAATCAACTATTGTGATTTTATAGTAATCATTATTTGTGATTTATAACATTAGAGCATGATGCGTGATGTTATAGGCTTTTGGACGTATTAATTTTATATCGCTATTTTTCCTCTGGCCTATATATCTTTCATATATCATTTATAACTCTGCTCCCAATTATATCATCAATTCTCGTCTCCAAATATCACCCAAACAGGGGCGGACTGACAACTCATGGGGCCCCCGGGCAATAGGGGATCATGGGGCCCCTGTGTCCTTGCCCAAACTCAAAAAAGCCTATGAAAAAGGTACCAGGGGCATCTCAATGGGGCCCCCTACTGACCCTGGGCCCTCGGGCAGTGCCTGAGTTTCCAAATGGTCAGTCTGCCCCTGCACCCAAACCTCTCCTCGCATGACCTCCTGCTCTCTAGCTCCCTTGTCTCCTCCTCCCCATGCTTTGTCTCGAGGACTTCTCTAGAGTCTCCCCATCCACTGGAACTCTCTACCCCAATCTAATCAGACTATCGCCTACTCTGCCCACTTTTAAGCGATCTCTGAAAAAGCCTATCCTGCCTTCAGCTAATAAACGGAATCTTCTATTCCTCCCACAAGTTATTACCTTTTTGTACCACCAGCCCCTCCCTCATAGATTGTAAGCTCCCAGGACCAGGCCCTCCATAACCCTCTTGTATTGAACTGTATTGTTGCTGTATTGTCTCCCGTTATATTGTAAAGTGCTGAGCAAACTGTTGGCGCTATATAAATCCTGTATAATAATAATCTCTATGGAGGGTATAAATACCTGGTTAAAGAGTTACTCTTACACATTACTTAGCATGTATGCAACTAACATGAAAAAATATTTCTGGTGCTGAGTTTGCTTTAACCTCCCTAGCGGTATTCCCGAGTGTAGCTCGGGGTAAAATGTCAGCACCAAAAGCGGTAACCCCGAGCTACACTCGGGCTTACCATGCGGCGCTTTTGCATAGGGAGTCCCTGCAGCACTTACCTTGTCCTTCGCTCCCGCGACGTGTCCCCTGCAGCGTTCCCCGGCCATCTCCTCCAGCATGATGCCAGCATCCAGCTTCTGTGTTCCGGTCCCTGTGACGTCGGGACAAACGGGCGCCGCCGACAGCGGAAAATTTGAAAATTTAAAAAAATTGTCATTTTTTTCAAAACGATTTTACATAGTAAAACATTGCTGTTTCAACCATTTCACATACATTTTGTCACGAGTGCTTTGTCCGGCCCCTGCCTGCATTTTACTGTTCTTTCTGCCTGGTAACTTAGAAAAGTCCATGGCGTCCAAAAAGCGTCCCTTTACGTCAAAAGCGGGTTTAGACCGGCTAGATGAACAGCGATAGTAAATCAGAACCACTTACAGAATTGAGTGATAATGATTCATGGAGAATAAATTTCGTCATCAGACACTGAAAACCGATTTTGCGACTTTGCTCAGCGATGTGCGAACTTGGCGCTATATTCAAATTTCAGTGTTTTTGGTTTGATTATATTATTGAATTAAATTTATTATTATTATATTTATTATTTTTTTATGATATATTTATTAAATTATAATTTATGATTTTTTGTGTTTCAAATTTTATCATACCACGGATGTTTACTAGACTCTTGTTCGTCGCACAGATTTCAGTGAGTTATTCCTAAAAATTACAGCCTACAATAAAAAAACTACATATTCCATGCAAAATAATGGTACCCCCCCTAATAGCTTTCAGCCACCAAAAATCTGAATAATCATACCGCCATGGGAGGTTAATAGTGACAAATAAAAAGAAGAGCAAGCTTGCAAAAGATGGAAAATCCTATGTGCTTGCTGCTTATACACATTATACTTTCCCTTTAATGGTTTGCAATGTATTTTGAGTGTCTGTGATAATGACACACAGTGGGCAGTAAACCACTATAATTATGTAAATATAATGTTAGCTCCATCTCCCTGTTAATTAAAGCTCTATGCCGACAGCCACCTCAAGCTGCCACCTTCTACAAGCCATCTTTAATTGGCCTCGGGGGAATGTTTTTATCCTGCAGATATTGTTTTGCTTGGTAACTATAGGTCCTGGGTATAACATCACCGCTGCAGCGTCCCCAAGGGGG